CTCCGGGGTGAGGTCATCAGAGAGGTTGTAGTCTGGTGGTGGTGGGTCAGGCAAGAGGTGATTGGGCTGGGTAGGCGGCGAGGTAGGTGGCTGGTGGTGGTGATCGGGTGTGTCGGCGGTGGACGGGGAAGGGAGGGAGGTGTGTGAGTTAAGCAGGTATGCCTGCACGTCGCGGACGTGCGCCTGTTGCTGCGACGTGTAGCGACCCAAGGCGTGCAGATCATCCAAGACGGAACGCTGGTAGTCCGCAAGGATGCGATCCAGGCTTTTGGGATGAAGCTCGGCGCCGATGATGACGGGTGAGGAGGGGCGTGCGTGGCCCAGTGATGAACCCAGGATGAGGTCATGGGGGAGGTCAGCTAGTGGTGAGCCGCCCCCGGGGCCTAGCAGGGTGTCGGGATCACCACGGAGCAGGCTCAGCAGCAGAACAAGCTGCAGCACACGCTCATCACGCAGGAACTTCTTACGAGCGTACAATAACATGGTGACCCAACTCTTCTACACACTAGTAAAAACGTTCCTCCCACTAGTGACACTACACTAGCGTGTACGCTCACTCGGTGTAAGGTTTCTTTGCTAATGTTATAGCCTATGCATAATCTTACGCAATGTTCTACTGTAAGAACAATCTTTTCGACTTACGTTTACTAATGCACTAACATTTGATTTTCAAGTAAGGTTATTTTTGATTAGAGTAATTTTTCCTGTCTACTCTTATACTATATCACAATGCATATAGGTTATATCGCCATCAGATAACCCTCTGCATCAAACACTACAGATCCATACAATTTCTGATTCACAAAAGTAGCTTCTACAGCACTATCAAAACTTTTCACAAACACTAAACTGTTTCAAAGTAATATTTTATTTAAAAACTAACACACTGATAAACTAACAAGTAAAACCAACTATATAATTTATTCCTGAAAATATTGTACGATGAGAAAGGTGTGTGACGTCCACGTCAAGACAAAGAATCATGCGTGGCCATTAATTTTAGTGCGAAGACGAAATATAAAGTAGTCTAAATATTTAAAGAACATATTAATCAAAATTACAACTATGAATATAAACGACATCGACCTAAATAATATATTGTTATCCGTAAGCGATATCAATATGAAGATATAAATAAAAATATTGTTACACTACGAAGTCGCCAACGATACACAAAGGAGCTGAAATACCTCTCTTTGTTGACACTCGTAGCACATGATGTACGAACTTACTATATTTGTCTAGGATAATTTAAAACTATAAAATGAAGTTTATATTTTAAAAGAATGCAAGCAACATATTTGATACCAATCTCCCACGCTATCCAGGAGGTGCGTTAAACAAGCATAAATAATACCTATCAAAGTGAAACTAAACTACTTTATTGTTATTATCAAAAAGAAGCGCGAAACGCAGACAACCAGAGCTACCTAAGAACGGGGAATAATCTGCTCTGGTGCCAAAGTCAACATTCTGGGAGATAATGTGGGACCAAAACACTCGCCCCCCTCCCTTTTTTTTTAAACCCACAAAGATAATGATATCAATATTGCACTGGATATTCCTGTGCTCATTCATTCCCACATATTGACTTTAAAGATGGCGCATAATCAGGCCTGACACTTCAAGGTCAAACCAACCAATGCAGTGACTATGTAATCCACATTCAAGGTCACTTACAGAATCGTGGGGAGCTTTCAAATACGGAATTTATTTGGGTCGCAAGTGACACTTTTGTCACCTTACCTCATCACACCATCCTCCCACAGTGACATCTACATCTTGGCTGCCAAGACTCCATCCTCCCACAGTGATATACACACAGTAACACTGCCATCTTGGTTACCTCACCTCAGATATTGGTACGCATGAGATGGAGAGGTGATAGAAGCAAACACTACACAGTTTTGAGAGTACAGGCCAGGTTGTAAATGGTATGGTGATGCCGACAAGATCTGGACAAGGACACTTAAGTACAGTTAAACATTTATTAAAGAAAACATTTCGCCACGAGTGGCTCCATCAGCCATTAGTACTGATGAAGCCACTCATGGTGAAATATTTCCTTTAATAAATGTCTTGACCACAGTACAGGCAAAGAATTGGTATATAAATGCAAAGCGACTGGGCAGGGAGTTATGAATCAACTCTTGTAAATAACTATAGTGCTGGACCAGGAGTTATGGATCAACCTTTGCTAACAACTAGGTAAATACGACTAAGTGAGCACAGCATCTTGGTTAAGTCATTTCACCATCCTCCTCCTACAGTAAAACCCTTGACTCTGGAGCACACGATAAAGCTGAACACAGTTCACTGGTAAGGAGCGTATTGTAAAATGGTGTACCATATATAAATTTCTTTCACTGTTGGTGGATGCTGAGCAAAGGCTGCCTCTCTGTGCCACATTGAGTGTGTGGATCGGCATTAACATTGCTTTTATATATTAGCATCTGGTTTAGAAGAGAAAGTACAATGTGGGATGTAGAGACTTCCTGATAAAGTAAGGCGGAGGACAGCAGCCATTACTCATCACCAGTATGATGGGTGCCACAATGCTTGCGCCTGTTAGTTTCTGACGAAGAACTTGACTAGTTCAGATTACTAATTCATTAAGGGGCGCCAAACACTTTTAACTTGGATACCAACGCACTATAGGCTACAAACTCTCACTCGATAACAAATTATGCTATATCGCTGTTACGGCTATCGCAGGAATAAACTAACGTGGGTTAGAGACTAGATGCAATTCAGTCAGGTGGTAAGGAGTGGAGCAGAGTGAGTTGTAGCGAAGGCTGCGGTGCAATGCAGAGGTGAGCACAGGAAGCAGTAAGGGCCACAGCCGGCAACACCCACACTGACATCACCTCATCCTGGACACTACACATCTTCTTGGCCTCTCCCGGCATAAACCAACATTATATATACTTACTCTACATATACACATATATATAATGAGTAAAACACTCTCCATGGAAGTGAACAGAATTCTTCTCGTAAGCCTATGGTAGTTAAGAGCGACTATAATGCCGGGAGCAAGGGGTAGTAACCTTCCCTGTATATATTACTAAATTAAAAGAAAACTTCATTTTTCTTTTGGCCACCACTCAGTGGGATAGGCGGTACGTGAAAAAAAGATGAGTAAAAAATGAGAAAACGGATATACACAATTTATCAATTTAGAACAATTTAAATAAATTTCTGAGAATATTATAAACTGCTGGCAAATATTAAAATAGCGTTCGAATACATGAATGGTGAAAGGCTAAAGAAACTGTTCACAGTTTTACAGTATATACTGACACAGGCGGCACATCTAGGAAACACCTGGTCACCAAGGAACTTGCATACCAAAATTTCTTCGAAAGGCTCTTGATCCAAGGAAATGAACTTGACCTCCCCTTCCCTGAAACGAAACTGTTCCCTATTTCCCAGGCACTATGATCCTTGCGGATTTAGCGCTCCACGTGAATGTAATAATAATAATAACAGCATACCGAAACACCACTATCACATTCCTAAATTACTATAATAGTCATATTAAAGGGGAAGTACGAGACCAGGAGGGTTATACAGCACGTGGTCATCCCCAATACAGTGCCGTCGCGAACTTAGCTTAACTAAACTTTTCCTAACTTTGGAAAATACATTATATTTTTGCTCTGTTCAGATCGAGCAGAAATCAACGATGCAATAGTTGTTAATTTCTTCTCAAGCTCACCCAATTTAACGTTTCCCTAAGAGCTTCTGAGGTAAACGTTTCCCGGACATCTGGTCATATAAAAGTTTTTCTAGGGAACCCTTCTGGTAAATGTTTTAGAGAAAACACCTCTGGAAAATATTCTGACCATAGAGATAAACCCATTTATTTAGTAAACGTTTCCCAGAGAATCCTCCCTGGTAAACGTTTTGGAGAGAAACACTGGTAAACTTTTCCCAGAGAACCCCCCCCCCCAAAAAAAAAAATCAAATAATTAAACCTCACAAAAGCCATCACAAGTATATGACAACCAGATCTAAGGCTAAGCTGCCGCACCTCTTGGCACCAACCACCACAACACTGTTCACTCGACTACTTAACGCTGTTAGGTAAGCATTCCCACTTTCAATTTCTTCGCCTAAGTGTTCCACCTTCACTCTCTTATAAGTACTAAGTTCTCTTATATGTATTCTCTTTTAAGTGAATGGTGCACTTGAAACATTTTTAAAGTAAAACCACCCGCTATCTTAGCCAAATAAACGTCGTAATCATACATAGCTCACCCTCATGAAACTACCCAACTCACGCTGCAAAATTAAAGATTGCAAATGTGAACAAAGAGAAAGCGTATATAGTAGTTGCTTAATATGTCTGATATATTATTTTCATTAAAAAGATACCTTGACATATCACATAGGTTATTCCTCAATAAGTGGACAACTGAAGCACATAGTTTTCGAGAAAGTCACGATGAGGCTAACCACTTACTTTCCATTTAGTTCGATCATCATGTGTGTGTCTGCCAAACTGCCCGAAGTACTTGTAACCAAGCCTAAGCCTGCCTACTACAACATCGGTTAGTCTGTTCAAACTGCAGATTACATACCTTTACCTTTATACCTTTGATGAGTTTTGAGTCTTACTACTCCCGGAGCCCGGCCGTGGGCCAGGCTCGTCTGGTGCTAGCCTGGTCGACCAGGCTGTTGCTGCTGGAGGCCCATTACCCCACATATCCATCACAGCCTGGTTGATCTGGCACCAAGGATATGCTTATCTATCAAGTTCTTTCTTGAAAACGGCTAGGAGTCTCTCAGCACTTTCCCTTATATATGAAGGAAGAATATTGAAAAATCTTGGTGCCTTTGAACTTATTGAGTTATTTCTCTACTCATTGGACCCTGCTTCTCATAGTGGGTGTTTAGCACCGACTGTCAAGCCTCTTTGTTCTTATAGGGGTGATCTGGCTTATACAGATTTTGTATCAATCCCTCCAGAATTTTCCAGGTGTAAATTATGATGCATTTTTCTCGCCTGCGTTCCAAGAAGTACAGTTCGAAGGACCTCAAACATCCTCAATAATTTATGAGCTTGACTAAATTTATATAGGCAGTGAAGGTTCTCTGTACATTCTACAGATCTGAGATTTTGCCTGTCTCAAAGGGGCTGTTAATGTACAGCAATATTCCAGTCTATAGAGAACACGTGATTCAGCACCAAGTGCCAGATCAACCAGGCTGCGATGGATACATGGGCCAGCAGGCTGCCAGGGGCAACAGCCTGGTTGACCAGGCAGGCACCACGAAGTCTGGCTCAAGGCCGCGCTCTGGGAGTAGAAAAGCTCTCGAAACTCATCAAAGGTAAGGAAAAGGTAAGTTTATTATCAGTGACTGGCATCATGTTTGGAATGTTCTAATTATCCATTCTATCCTTTTTTTGACACTTGTAAACCTTGAATGTGAGATTTTTGAATGGTCATTGTACTATCGATTTCCTTGTGACACTTGTGATTCTTGAATGTAAGATTTTGACAGTCATTTTAACGCCCCTTTCATTAACATTGCGCTGCTGATTGGTTCGAGTTTTATATCCAGTTCCAGTTTTGATTTAAAAAAAAAAAGTCCAAAGCTTGGAGATTAGTCGTTTCAATGGGTGCCACTCGTACAAACTCTAGTATCGTCTGCAAATGATACGGTGCTATGATTTACGTCTTTGTCTAAGTAGAACAAGAAATTGGTGCGAGTACTGCATCTTGAAGAACAGAAGAACACGGTGAAAGCCTCTAATTTGACTTTGTTCATTATTATTCTTTGGGCTGTATTGGTTAGAATATTCCGCGTGCCCGCATTTTGTGCCTTTGATATACCTTTGATGAGTTTCAAAAGTATTTCTACTTCCGGAGCCAGGCCATGGGCCAGGCTCGTTTGATGCTAGCCTAGTCAACCAGGC